TTCAAGCATTTTTTGAGAAAACTGCCCACATTTTCTTATCGATGGTTCACTTTCTAAAAAGGCCGCCGTTCCGCGCACAAATATACTTAAAAATAAAATAAATCTTCAGGTGCTTATTAATATGTTTCAATCTGTTTTATAATAATTGTACTATTCTGCTTTGTCGGCTTAAATAATTGAAATACTCCGCGGAAAGTTTGCAAAAACGACTGATTGAATAATGCCGATTGATGGATTTAGATTACCAAACAATATGATTTTGAAGACGCGCCCAGAGCAGGTCCCATAACTGTTTCAAAAAGCCAGATAAATTATTCCACCACAATGGTAATTACATTTCTTTGCACGGTACAAGGTGAATGACTACCAGTTCTTCGACAAGGTCATTACCAGATGTCAATAGAACATTGACTATTCAGAAGTAAATTATACCATAACGACTGGACACTCCAGAATTACCGTATATGTATGTAGAAATATATGGGAGCTTGCAAAAAGCCCATCGTTTTTTTCTGATCTGAATGCTTTCGATAAGTACCGAATGAAAATCCTCTTTGACAAGCAAGTTAATTGATATTGGGAAAATGCGTTGAGGAATTCTGTTGTTTGTGTAGTTCTGTTCGAACTTTGATTGCATCAATTTGTGAAGAATGGTAAGCGATCATGTCTTGTTCAGCTTTTATAAGTTTACAAGCATCGGCTGAGTTGTTCGAGAATATTTTTTATTTATGACTTTTTATTGACGTTTTTTTTTGATAAACTTTTACCTGATGTATTTTGAACAATTCTTTTGTATGCTTTGGGAAATTCTTTATTGTGGCCGACCACAATACAAGGTACAAAGAAGTTAAGTTTTATTAACCATACATTTTTCAAAATATCGATTGTATTTATCGTTAGTGACTGACTGAAAGTTTTGAGATAACGGAGCTCTAAATCCCATTCCCAAAAAACAACCTACTTTAAAACATATAAAGTATTTTTATTTTTAATATTATTCGCTTCTTTTAGAGGGTTGAAAAAATGCTGCTATTGTTCCTTTAACGGGACGTGAATTCATTTCAAACTTGTTTTTGAAATTACCGACGTTTTGCAACATTTATTCACACATCTTCAGAGCTCTAATAGTGCTCACTTTGGCCAGTTTTTGCCAATCACTTTTAATGTCCTGAGTATGACTGAATATTCATGATGAAATTGCCATAATGAAACCGACATTAAATTTATATCGGTACAAATCCCGTTGAACAAACATGCGAATATTTTTTTAGGTCAGAAATGATGTGCTTTGAGGCAGTAAATTTTTAATTTTTTGTTTGGAAAATGAAATTTCGATACACTTCGAAGGGCTGTCGTGGCAAATATTGTTAAAAAAATGTCGATTTATATGGCTCTAAAATGCTCAATGTTAATTTGTTGAACAAAACAGCAGTTTTGCATTGAAATATAATACAAACTAATGCAACAATTTTTAACTTGAATTTTTGTTATGTTATGTTAAAAATTTCATTTCTATATGGTTTCAAATGCACCTCGCATTTTTTAGAAGTTAAAACACCGGTTTTTTAGAATCATTTGTGTAATTTATTCAGGGATTTTTAATAACAATTTGCAAATTTTGTGGAACATTTTGTCCAGAAAATATTTTAAGAAATATTGACTAATAACACAAGAATTTAAATTAGCTACAAAGTTCACATAATTGTGTTGATTTGGACTGGCTTTTGACGATTGGACTGAGTTTATGTGGAATGGATCCGACTAATCTGCCCGCGTTCGAGATACAACTTTAGCTACTCGATTCTACTTTATTTTAATTTTAAATCACTCCGTTTCTTCTAATTATTTTTCTGATCAAACTGCCTCAACTGCACGTTTTCGCATTTTTCCACTCACAAGCAAAGTGTAGTTGCTTGAAACAGTTAATTCATTCCAGATCAATATGAACGGGTTAAATGGACACCAGAATGGTGAGTCGAATGGTTGCGGCGACATTATCGCGCAAAACCAGTTGAAGGGCTGTTGGACCATTGGGCTGATTAACAGCAAGTTCCGTTATCTAACAGCGGAAACTTTTGGCTTCAAAATTAACGGCAATGGCACATCTTTGAAGAAGAAGCAGATCTGGACCTTGGAGCCTGATGCCAATTCATTCGGAGAGAGTAAGTGCTTTATTTCCTGTCTTTAGCTAAATTCTGTTACTGATTCGTTGCGTGTTTGCTTCAGGTCTCATCTACTTGAGGTCTCATCTGGATAAATATTTAGCCGTTGATTCCTTCGGGAATGTCACTTGCGAAAGCGAGGAAAAAGACCCGGGCAGCAAGTTCCAGATCAGCGTAGCTGAAGATGGCACTGGACGTTGGGCTTTGCGAAACGTTGTCAGAGGGTATTTCTTGGGAGCCTCCGCGGACAAACTTACCTGCACAGCTAAAGTAAGTGTCCAAGTCGAAGTTGGCTCTATTGCTGACTTGTTGATTGCTTGCTTTGAAAAATTTATTTATCTATCATTTTTTTTCTACTACGATTTAAGTGAAAATTTTGCTGTATTCACTCCAACACCAGCCGCGTAATCGAGTACCAGATTAATATCGGTTGTTTAGCGGTATCAACGTCTTTTGATGAGTAAAGTGAATGGAACATATTGAGAACATTTTCCTTAGAATAACGTAAAAAGGCATAAAATGTTCTCTCAGGTACCTGGAGATGCGGAATTCTGGCACGTCCATCTGGCTGCACGGCCTCAAATGAACCTTAGATCAGTCGGCCGGAAGCGTTTTGCTCATCTTTCGGAAAGTTTGGATGAAATCTACGTGGATGCCAACATCCCTTGGGGCGAAGATACTTTATTCACCCTGGAGTTCAGGCAGGACGAAGGCGGAAAATATGCCATCCATACCTGCAACAACAAGTACTTATCTCTAACTGGTAAGTGTTCAAGAGGTCTTAGTTCCAGCCGATTTTTTTAAGTTGTTACCCTTAGGTAAACTGGTGGACACTTGCAATAAGGACTGCCTGTTTTCGGCCGAATATCACAGTGGTCAATTAGCACTCAGGGATAGACAGGGGCAGTATTTGAGCCCAATCGGGTCGAAAGCTCTGCTCAAAAGTCGCTCGAACACTGTGACCAAAGATGAGCTTTTTTCGCTGGAGGATTCGCTGCCTCAGGCCAGTTTTGTTGCTGCTCTTAATTCCCGATTTGTGAGCGTCAAACAGGGTAAGTGTCAATATAGTGTAGTTTTTTTATGTTTAAAAGTGATATTTTTGACGAAAGATGGTAAGAAAAAACAGTTTTTCTTTAACTTGCAAAGTTTGGTTTATTTAAGTTTTTCGGGACATTGTTTCGGTACCAGGGGCAAAATGTGTGGATGCTTTGCAGCCCTGAAACAAAAGTAAATATTTTTTAAAAGTTCAGCGTGTTTCTGCGATTTATCGCTGAATGTTTGTTTATTAAACAGATTCTATATAAACTGTGACATGTTTAATCGTTAAATTGAGCCGTCAGTAGCTCGATTGTGAACGTCGCAGACGTTTGTCGTTAGTTCAAGATTCATAGATAAATAGATTAACAGATTCTAATGAGTGGATATTTGCCAGAAGTGGATGCTTCGGGTTTATTCCCAAGAATACAAACCAGAGAGAGAAAAGAGTTTTGGGGAAATCAAAAATACCATATTTAACGTCGCTTAACCGGAAAATCGTCAATTTTTATTTTTGTCTATTGAGTTTACAGAGTTAATTTTAATCTTTGGAAGCTTATCAGTTTAATTTATAGGTGGCAACCATTTTCCCACTTTTTTATCCGGGAATCAATTCTGTCATTTCATTTATTATATTATTTTGTTTCAAAATACACAGTTTAAAGCGTTTTCAAAAAAAATGTTTCCTGAAATAGCGTTAAAAAGATTGAAAATGCACAGTTTTTTTAGTGAATTTCATGGAAAAGCCGCGCTCAAATTACTAAACACCAGCGCTCATTCTCAATTGCAATTTTCCTCGTCAAATCCAAAATTTTGGTTTTTCTTTCAGTTCAGCAGTTTTTCAACGATTCAACTGTTTACATGTTTATCTCTTCTAATTAAAGCATCCGTTTAAATAATGTTTACTCTAAAAATCGCTTTCTGGACTTTTGGGACAGTAATTGAGGCTCTATTTGCCGATGGATCTGCCCAACTTTGCTCATTTAACAAAACCTCTATATTCAAAAATGTAAGAGAACTCATAAAAACATTCAGAAAATGACCATCCATTTAAATGTAACATTGGTTTTCTATTATTTGCGGACGTTTTGACCTTTATTGAGGTATTCTTCAGGGCTCAAATTATGTGTGAATTTTATGCATCCCTATATGCATCGCCAGGGCAAAGCATTAATTATTTTTTTATTACAAAATTTTTACTACAACTTAGTATTCATATCTTATTTTATTCTGCAGTACAGAACGAACCGGACTAATGCTGGAAATTGCACCAAATTAGTTACATTTTTAACATTTTACAATTTCCAGCAGCGGTTTGTATTCCAGAATAAAATAAGATTTGAAAAATATTTTTAAACAAGAATTAGTGTCTTGCCCTGGGTGTGCATTCACTAGAATTTATATTTATAGACACAACGTTCCCCTCATAATTCGAGATCTGAAGATTACCTCAATGCCGGTTGAGACCTCGACAAATAATTAAGAAGAAACGCTAGATTTGATCAGACTTGGGACGCAAAACTAACCGAAATTATGTTAACGTTTCGGTCAGAACCTATAAAAATATCTATATTTAAAACATTTATATTATTAACACTGAATTCAAAATTTTACAAATGCATTTTGAAAATCGACAAGTGCACTTACGAATCGAATTTTGCGGTCGCAAGTTATTTTATATTTTCCTTAATGCAAAGTCTCCGGATTTCTGCCAATCTTATACGAAAATTCGTAAAGTTTTTCGCTATACGAGATGTTTAAAAACATTACTTTGGGCAAATGCAGGATTTGGATTGTTTCAACCGAATTCAAACTTTCAAAAGTATTAGGAAACACACGTTTGACGAAAGCAAATTAAATATAAATGGCTTAAAATGGCTAATAATTTATCAGTGATTTTTGATAATTATTTTTTTTGCAAGGTTTTTGGGGGATACTTTTTAATGTCGCTCCCTTGTGGTTTTCTTGTTATTTTCCTGCATCATTTTCATGTTATATTTAATTGCATCAATTAATTTTGCGTTATTTATTCACGTTCCCAAGCTGATTTAAAGATAAAGACTAGAAATATAAGTAAGAAACTTATAAGTACCTAAAATGAATAAATAATATTCTCTAAACACACTTATGTTGCTCTTACGGGTAAATCGCAAAAAATTGCGAAATATCTGAAAAGTGAAATACAATTTTAATCTAGAATCTGATACCTTTCCTTTACGGATTTTAATGGCGTTTTACTTTCATTCAATTCACATTAGAAGTTAATTTAAACCCTCAAAATATAACGCATGTAAGCGCTACAGTTTTGCAATTTTTGTAAATTGATTTACATCGAAACAGGCGCAGGAAATGATACGGCGATATTTTGATTGGTTTTGCAGGGTACAATCGAACAGAATTATCACGCATTCCCCAAAGAAATTAAGATTGAAGGAAACTTCGTAATCGAATGTAAATCGGCGGTTTATAATTGACCCGCTCTCCGTTATTCGAAACTGGAAATCCAGTCAGGTTGAATATTAATATGCAGAAGTATTTTAAGTACGTATTTATTACAAACAATCTGGCAAAACTGATTATTTATTGCTTGTGCACACATTGGCGTTAATGAATAATTAACTTAATTAACCGCTAATGTATGCATTGGCGCTTCAGGCTGTGTTACTGCTAATAAGTGTTAAAGTAGCCGTTTGCCATTTATACGTAAACTGTAAAATCACCGGTACTGTTGAATTTTGTTGGCTCAATTGTGTATATAATCATATATCGGGATTTTTTTAAGTAAAATTAATAATGCTTGAAAAATGTTCTGGCTTCCGATTTCCGCTATATCCGGCACCTAACTGAGCTCATCAGACACGATTCATATAAATCTGATATTTACAACGGAAAAAAATTAATGAGAGTCTCGCAAATGCTCAAAATTAGCTAAAAGCTCGATAATTTGAACGTACTTAAGACGTCGTTATTGAAAATGTGGACTTAACAATGCTTTCAAATGAAGTAGGTAGGTAAAATAATTCATTTCGCAAGCGAWGTTTCGCGTAGTAAATGTGCCATTTAGTGCTCTATCCAGTGGTATGAAAATAARCGCGCTGGCTCAATCTGATCCTGAGATATGATCAAAAAGGTGGAGCAAAACGTGCAATTTTGCCCGAAGACAAATAGCAATAAGACGAAAAAGGCYCTGTTATGTGTGATCCGAAATTGCAAGTGCAGAAACAATCACAAAAAACTAACAGTTTTCTTGAAAATTTGGCTTTGGAAGTACGATTCAAAATCATTAAATTAAGTGAACCTAATGGCAATAAATTTATCAATAAAAAGTGCAGAGGAACAGTGAAGACTTTCTGAAAGATAATGCGAGAAAACAAATTGATAATCTTAAAGAAGCAGACAAATTTCACACATTTTTTCCATCTTTCAGACATTTTAGCCAAACTGATTATTGCATAGTTCACATCACGAGTAGCTAATTCACTGTATCGTCAATAAACCGAGCCGTGACGTGTTCGCATTAACAAGCCCCAGAAATGCGGTCTTCAGTAAATATTTTTTTATCGACTTCCAGCTAAAGTTAAGACATTACATCTAATCTGCAATTAGTTAAATATTGTCGCAAATCATCCATTAGTGGGCCAATGGAATATTTTTCGAAGATAAACGAGTCTTCCCATAGCCATATAAACAGTTAGGCTGCTTGTAAATTATACATCTTGCCATTTTGGAATTTTTACGAAATTGGACTCACGGTTCCAAGCAGATGGTAGGCGTTACAAGAATGCACAGATAGTAAATCACTAATTAAGGTTATTTTATGCGGAATGAAATATTTTCAAGTGCAGACTTGGAACTAATGTTAGTTTGAAATTAAATTAGTCTTGCCTTGGCTCTCCTGATTTTCTAGCAATTATTTTCGTTTCATTATTCAAATGTGCTCATCAGGTCTTTCGAAAATCCCCACCCGCTGGTTGTATGTTTTTACATTCTAGATAACAGACTAAAGCTAGGCAATTAGCAGAAATCGTGTTCATGGTAGCTCATTATGTGCTAAAGTCGTTATGTCGTCTGCAGCTGCCCTTCTTCCAATTTAGAATTAATGTACATAACGGTGTTTGAAACACTTAGATTTCCATAACATTCATTTGATTAGTTGGGCAAGTTTGTAGCCGTTTTGTGAAAAATGGTACTAAGTGCGAAGGCCATTGATTGCCGACTGTTAATTACGTGTCAGCGCCATGCAAGTGTTAATTTGCTTAATTACGTTTCACATGCATTCTAATTTACCTCAATTTTTCTAACGTTGCTTTTCGTGTCTTCTAATTACCATTTTTTAACCATATACTATTTTTTGCGTTTTTCCACCAAATGCTATTCTGATCATCGAGAGCRACAAATGGACTTTGTCAGATCTTTAGTAACTATATATACAGGGTGTCTTCTGCCAATAAGACACACAGAACTAAATATTTSGGGACTTGTTAAAGRAATCATTTGATGTAAGGTGGTTTTAATTTCAAAGCAAAAAGCGTTCAACCAGTAAAGGTGAAAATTATTTTCAGTTTGGCTTCATGCAGGCCTTTGGAAAGTGCGAATAAAGCATCCTTTTGAATGAATGCTTTTTTGCCSCTCTTTTCTGAAAAATGCTTTTTTGCATGCTTTATTGACAATTTTTGCATGCTTTATAAGCGACATTCAATTATCCGCAAACGTTGAGAAAAATCAAGTGTCTTAAAAACTAGAAAAGTCAGAGGGTTTTTGTTTCTGGGATTTAATCACAAAATCTACTTAATTTGTTTGGAAAGTTTCGAATTGAGGCAGACATTTTTTTAATGAATCTTCAAAGTGATGCGATAAACGACATTTGTTCGATAGTCTGCAACCGTTGAGAAAAATTCAATTTACCAAAAAACCACTGAGTCATGAAAAAATTCGATACAATTTTTGGAAATCGAATTTGATTTTTTGAAAAACTACAGAAAGTGAGAGCGTATTTGTTTTTGGAATTCAATTCGCA